TAAAGGTTTTAAACTGGTATAGTGGAAAAATGCAGTGATAAAAACAACAGAAGAAGATTCTGTCCATTTGGTACAGTAGTTGGTAGTTGATTTATCCAAGGATTTCTTCCAGTTGTTTCTTGAAAAAAACAGGGTATCAACTTTAACAACATGGCTTGGTAGTTGGTATTGTATTTATGGGAAAACTTCATAAATAAACACAGTTGAGAGGGTTTGTCAATCATGTCGGCGATATAAAGGATTCACTGCTTGTGTATTTATTTTCCTAAATTCTCTACACTTATGGAACAGACAGAACTGAGGTTTAGCACAATGTGGAAAATTTGATCTTCCATGCTTTAAAATTATATTTAACATTGTTTTTAAATATATATATCATCTTAAAGTTATATACAGTACATACAGTAGTAAAGGATAAAACACACTGGAGTTTCAGGAGTTGAAATCCCTTTTACTCTTTGCTGTTGCTTTTGGAGAATATTTTGATTTACTCCTGGAGAGTTTGGTTTTTGCAAAAGGAGGGTTTTCCTATGCAGATATAAAAGATAGAAGCAAATTTAAGCCTGCAAATTCCTCAAGGTGTTGCCCTAATTTAAATCCTATTGCCTAATATTAAGATTATTTTTTTCATAAAAGAATACATGTAATCAGTGATCTCTTCCTATTTGTCCCAATAGACCACATTTAAAAATGCAATTTTTAGAATACAAAATTTAGAACAAAAAAAAACAGGTTCTTTTTGCAATACCATGTAAAACAAAACTACATTCAAAGCATTGTTAAATGTAACTGAAATACAAACAGTCAATTAGAGTTAAATCAATTACAAGTACATACTTATTAATGTCTTAAGCTCTTTCAACAGGCACTTCAAAAAGAAAAACATCTGCAACTATTTTCTACAAGATTTCTGGTAGTTTTAATCAAAACCTTTTCTTTTATTAAATTACTGTTACACTGCTGAGTTGTATTAATGAACTAATCACCAAACCACCAATCAAATTAACGTTAATTGTTCATTGGACTGCTTACAGCTTAACCAATCAAAGCATAGCAAATCAACAATAGAAAATATACCTGAAGTTGCTGTTTTTTTTTCAAAAATGATAACTGACTTTAAAATGTTTAAGATTGAATTCAATTTAACCAGCCAGTTTTATAAGGATATCTTTCAAGAAAAAAAATGACTGCCCCTTTAGACACTCTGATCTCTAAAAAACAACAATAAAAACAGAGAAACAGAAGAATCCTAAGATTGCACCACCAGACAGTTCTTAAACAAAAGTACAGGGATTAAAGTTCTGCTTTTTTATTTTGAGAGTTTTTATCATACAGATCACAAAATGATTACAGCTGTCAACTGCTCTAATTGCAACCTGTAAAGTTCATTTGAAGTGCATGTGAGTTATAATATCTGTATTGAATTTTAAGACACCCCTTTATCACAGTTTACTAATCATATTGCACCTACTGTACAGCAATAAGTAAAATGATTGAATATGTTTTACCATCATTGGATTGAACATTTAGTAATTAATGGTGTTAAAAGAAACCTCATCCTTATACTTCAGTTGTGCTAAGGACTACTCAAGGCATAAATAAATTGAAAAACAAGTAATAATAACAAATAAATATTATTAACTGTTTTGTAAAGAATAGATTATTCAACCAACAATAATATTTCATTTTCCATACTTAACCGTGCCATGTAAATGTAGCATCTTTGTGTAGTATAGTAATAAAACCATTTCTCTGCTTAGACCATATTGTATTACAAAGATAGCAAGTGATAAATAATATCTTTGGAGATAAATGTCACAAATGAAATTATTTTTCTGTGACTGCTATCTTGCTAGATAACCATCCCCCAAGGTGAGGCTGCTAAAATAGTGGGAATATATGAGGTTTTATGACAAACCATGTAGTTGATTACATTTTGAACTATGGCTGAATCTAACAGCACTTGGCCCTTTATAAAACACCATAATTTAACTTTACAATAGATGAACATCCCTGGGTAAGGAATAGTCTGCATCGAAAAATAAGCATATATGGATTAAAATGTTAATTTTGTGCACATTGTTAACATGTTAAAGAGACAAGGTACGGCTAATGGCTACAATCCTCAATAGGAGGTATTGAGCCTTACTTCTGTAAGTGCCCACAAAGTGCACATATTTAAATATACCTAGAATCATTCAAATACAACAGATGCTCTTAATTGTAATAATCATTTGTTTTTAATGTTTCTCAGTATAAAATACTTATGTATATCATAGTTAATATGTACATATAAAAGAAAACATAAAACGTTTCCTTTGTACGAGTAAAACCACCTCAGTGCATTATTAGCTTTAGATGGTTATTTTTCTTGCATCAGAATGATAGTTATCAGTGTAGAAATTTTAGTATAGTTTATTTTTGAAAACACATTAAACAAAAACACTTATATTAATTCAAAAATAAAGCACAAGCATTTGTTAAGTGGTATAAATGATCATATCATCAGCTGGTGTACAATAGTCTTAGTATTCAGCTTTTCATGGTGTCTCCATTTAGTACAGTAGAGCACTTAAGCTCCCAGAGAACACAATGGTACTATTTTAATTCTGGAATATTTTTTCCATTAACTGTTTCATTCTCATTAGGCAGGAAATGGGAAAATTCTGAATTCTTTCTTTTGATTCAGAAATTGTAAATATGATGCAGATGTTTTATTTCTTATTTGCCTGCCAAAGTATTTGCTCAATAGTGTTTTCTGCATTCACTATAAATGCAAAAGCAAAGGTTGAGTATAGACAAGACTTTGTGCTGTCAAAATAGATTTTTGTCCCCAGGTTGCTTTAGGCTAAAGTGTTTTGATAATTAACGCCTGTTTGGTTTCTTCACATCATCAGTTTTATTTACCATCAGTACTGTGTTCTCAGTGCTTAATGAAATTTTTGGAAGCACTTTTTGAAACGGCAGAGATTTATTTTTGTCACTGACAAGACATTTTAGTGCTACGTATGATGATATACTTTTTCCTTTTTCCTCTGTCCTTGTGATAAGCAAATTCAGAACGTTTTTATGCTTGATTACCAATTATCCTTTTGCATTGAACTGTTGAATTATAAAGAAGACTTTCTTTTTTTTTTAATTCAGGCAGTTAAAGGAGGTGGAACTAAAATTCTTAAAGCATGCCCATAACAAAAACAGACTGTGCAATTTAATTGCTAGATTCTGATTAATAAACTTTGTTTTATTATTTTTCATTAATCTGATGGAGATCAAAAAAATAAAATAATGATTGTGTATTCCAAGCATTTTACCAATCAGTTCTCCCCAGGACATAAGTATTCCTCAAAAGTAAAAAAAAAAACTTGATGTTTTTGTACGACAAGGTGTTTGTGTTCTGTTCATTTAGCATTGATAATTATTGGGCAATTTTAATAACTACATAGTTTTGGTGATCCAGCAAGCTCTAGTCATTTACTTGCAAGTGGGTTTCATTATATGAAATACAAATAACATACTGTATTGCACTTTCCTTTTATTTTGTACAAGTGAACAAATATTGTTACAAGAGATTAAATAAATGCTTAAAAAATAAAAATGCATAAAAACTAATATTTTTATACAAATTCCTATTTTTAATTTAAATCAAGCTATTTTTTAACAAACTTTCCAGAGTGAAAAGACATCCAAAAGCCACTCATTGAAATAAAAAAGCGAATACATTCATTATGTATTTTTTGCTATTTAAGTGTCATGCCATGTGAAGGTATGGATTAATTTAGTCATAACATTCATAGTTTTAGGAAATTGTGTCATTCATAGTTCATAACACAACAGAGCAATGCAATTAAGATAATTGTTGTTTTGGAGATAACAGGCCCACTGGTATATTATCTCATATTCAAGTATTTAAATAATTTACATAGGTTCACAGTTTCTTTTATCAGCATATGGCAATTTTATTTGCCACCCAGTGTGCATTGTTTCTTTATATAAACTTATTTAGTCAGTTGGAGGAGAGGGGGGAACATTGTCCATAGAAATACTCTGGTGGTTAGAATTGGTCCTGGTCTACATGCTTAAAGCTTATAAAACAAAAACCAATAAAATGAAACCTAGCAGATATAACACTGCTACTGTCTTCGGTAAGCTATACCCACTGTGTGAACAGGGAGTGCTCTGCAACCTGCTTAATAGAGGAAAAGAGAGGAGATTTACAAAATTTCAGATGGGTCCATTACAGAAGCAAATGTTTTGTTGTTTTAATCTGTTGTTAAAACATGTTTTTTTTTCATTCTGACCAGCTCAGGAACCCCTGTTGTTAATATATATATATATGATGAATAACTGTATGTATGGTAATGGCCTTTACATATGTTTTTTGCCATTGTAGAAACTGTGGATTCTTCATATGCTTTATGCACTGCTGACTGAAATACTAATTATTTTAATAACCTCATCTTTTTGACAAAAGATATGAAGAATGCTTCTGTGCACAGTAGTCATTGAAAAAAATACTGTAAACCAGTGTCAGTTGCTGAACTGAAAAAAAGTGCCCTGGAAAGCTAAACTGGATGGCAGCTTATTATGTATGCTTGATTCCAAATTGAAATCTGTGAGAAATGTTCAGCTATGCTACAATGTTGATGTAGCATAACAGTGTATCGGTGTTCGCTTTCTGCACTGACATTTTTAAAACAGTGTTTTCTTTACCCACTAACAATGCAGAAACATGAATTATAGATGACATTGAAGGTAACACTGAATTACATTCAGGAAGTGAGTAAATATCATTTTATAATGTTTATATTCTGAAATGCTGTATCTCCTTTACTATGCTGACTTTCTGGTGTTGTTTAATAGGTTACCTCATCCAAAGTTTTAATTTAGAAATTTGTTTATGGTAAATTAGTTATATTTGACTATTTACTAGTAATTACAGAGCCACTTGAGATTTTTTTCCCTTTTCTAAACATTCCTTTCTCCTCCTTGTGTCTCTGCAGGTAACAGGTAGGATGGTGGCCGGGGAGGCTAGCGTTCACAGCTCCCTGGTGGCTTGCTGGCAGCCCATCCTGCTATTGATGTTGGGTACTGTCCTGTCAGGTTCAGCCACAGGTTGTCCCGCTCGCTGTGAGTGCAATGCCCAGGAGCGCTCAGTACTCTGCCACCGCAAGAGGCTACCAGCTGTACCAGAGGGCATTCCCACAGAGACACGGCTCCTGGACCTTAGTAAGAACAAGATCAAGACCATCAACCCAGATGAATTTGCCCCCTACCCCCATCTTGAGGAGCTGGAACTTAATGAGAATGTGATCTCCACAATTGAGCCAGGCGCCTTCAACAACCTCTATGGCTTGAGGACACTGGGGCTGCGGAGCAACAAGCTGAAACTCATTCAGATAGGGGTCTTCACAGGACTGAGTAACCTCACCCACCTGGACATAAGTGAGAACAAGATAGTTATCCTTCTGGACTACATGTTTCAGGACCTTTATAACCTCAAAGCTCTGGAAGTGGGAGACAATGATCTGGTTTTCATCTCACACCGTGCATTTCATGGACTCAACAGCTTGGAGCAGCTCACCTTGGAGAAGTGCAATCTGACGTCCATCCCCACTGAGGCTTTCACTCACCTCCACAGTCTAATTGTGCTCCGGCTGCGGCACCTTAACATTAACATTATTAGGGATTATTCTTTCAAACGGCTACACCGGCTAAAGGTTCTGGAGATCTCACACTGGCCCTTTCTGGATACTATGACCTCCAACTGCCTCTATGGACTCAACCTGACCTCTTTGACCATTACTCACTGCAACCTGACCACTATTCCATATGTGGCTATCCGCCATCTTGTCTACCTGCGCTTCCTGAACTTGTCATTTAACCCCATACATACCATAGAAGGAGGCAAGCTTCACGATTTGCTTCGACTCCAGGAATTTCATCTTGTTGGGGGTCGACTGGTAACAATAGAGCCATATTCCTTCAGAGGATTGAACTACCTGAAGATCCTCAATGTCTCAAGCAATTCTTTAACCACCCTAGAGGAATCTGCCTTTCACTCAGTGGGAAACCTGGAAACTCTAAATCTTCACGATAACCCTCTGGCTTGTGACTGTCGTCTGCTTTGGATCTTTCGCCGCCGCTGGAGACTCAATTTCAACCGTCAGCAGCCCACATGCAGTATGCCTGAGTTTGTCCAAGGAAAAGAGTTTAAGGACTTTCCAGATATTCTTCAGCCTAACTATTTCACCTGCCGTAAATCCCGAATTCAGGACCGCAAGCCTCAGCAAAAGTTTGTGGATGAGGGGACTACAATTCACTTTGTGTGCCAGGCAGATGGAGATCCAGCCCCTGTAATAATGTGGTTGTCGCCTCGTAAGCACCTCATTACAACGAAGACCATCGGCAGACTGACAGTGTTTCCAGATGGCACCTTAGAAGTGCGATATGCACAAATCCAGGACAATGGCACATATATGTGCATTGCCAGCAACGCAGGTGGAAATGATACTGTTTTGGCCCATTTGCATGTCCGTAGCTATTCACCAGACTGGCCCCATCAGCCAAATAAGACTCTGGCCTTCATTTCAAACCAGCCTACTGACAACGGTGCCAATGGAACCCGTGCTACTGTTCCCTTCCCTTTTGACATCAAGACATTGATCATTGCTACAACAATGGGATTCATCTCTTTTCTTGGTGTTGTTCTATTTTGTTTGGTGCTTCTCTTCCTCTGGAGCAGAGGTAAAGGTAACACCAAGCACAACATAGAAATTGAATATGTGCCCCGCAAGTCAGACGCTGGCATGAGCAGCAGTGCTGCAGAAGCACCCCGCAAATTCAACATGAAAATGATCTGATAGTTTGATGGCCCAGAGAACCAACATAAAGATAAATCAATTTTAAAAAAAGTTCTCCCTAACAGTCCCAGGATCCTGGGATTTTATTCTAGATTTACAGAATTTTCCTGACTTTAAACACCAGAAGGGGATGTTCTTTGCTTTCATTTTTTTGCTGAAATTATGAAAGAAACTAACACAGCTCATGTCCTTCCTGGATGTTTGATCAAGACTGAATTCTGAAGGGCCTTCAGGGACCACTTCTTTGAAACCGAACTTCATTGTACGGGATTCTTGTGGATTTTTATGGGAAAAAAGTTGATTAAAAATAAAATAAATTAATCCTTTTAAAATTTCTTATCATCCACCAGAATGCAAAAGGCAGATCAGTTTTCTCCATGCAGTCCTTTGCCTTTCATTTTTGCTTCTTTTTTATGAAAATATTAACAGATTTTATGGAAGGATACAACTAGGCAGAGCACTGAAAAACGGGTTGGTGAACACATTGACCTTCAGCCATACAAAAAGAGAGGATTCCATTTTTTCACAGCTTTTCAGCCATAATAAATTTCACTAGGTGTAAAAAAAAAACGTATTTCCTTTTAGAGCTTTAGACCTCCTGTATATTTTCCATGGGCAATTTGTGGACAAACTACTCACTTTATGGGAAACAAATCAGATGTGCAAATTACCAGAGGGAAAATGATGTCCTCAATCATGGCAATATTAAAATATTCTTTAAATAATACAATAAAAAATTTATTTCACTACCATGTCCAAAAAAGTCTTTGCTCATACCCTGTACTACACCCTTAACAAACAACAAAATCCTTATATTTTTTTTCTAGTGTGGCCCTTATACAGTTTTAGCATTAAATGTATTTGATCTGCTTTTCAAGCCAAAGTGAAAAATGTAAATAATATGTTTATTGGTACTGATTTTTTTTGCTAAAATTAAGTACATTAGGAAAGGGATCAGAATAACTGTGAGAACACTCAGCTAAAGGGTCAGTCTTGCTCAGGAAATGTTGTGTCATGTATACTGTGTATGTTTTATAGTAAGAAGCCAGTGAGGTAGAGATACAACCTTTGTGATAGCAACAGGTATGGGAATGGTAGGAGTGTCACCCTCTATTGTGGTAATTAGTCTTGCATGTTAAAAAGCAGTCCAAATTAATTCCAAATAATCACTCCTGGGGTTTACACAAACTTCAAAATCACCTCCACAGTAACTTTGTGACATGGCACACATGCATCTTATGCATTCCTATTGTCTGTCATCTAAAATGGAGAGAAAGATTTCTGCACTTCAGATCCCATTTAATCTAATATGAACCCTTATTATTCTTCACAAGAGTTAGGGGAACACACTCATTCAATAATCTTATTTTTTTTTATTTGGCTATACAGTATACAGCATGTTACACTACAAGATGATTGTGTAAAAAGAAAATGAGTGCTAATTAGGAATGTAAGCAAACTACTAAGTGGTCATGATACTAAAACATGAAGCACGTCTCACATTATAAACAGCTGTTCTTAATATAATATATGGACATTTAAATGCTCCCTCTCATATTCATATTCATTGGGTAATTTGTATTTACTTGTGATGTTTTAGTTCCTAAAATAAAACTAATCAGAAAAGCTTTTCCTATACCTTCCAAGTGAAACATTGTCTGTGTACGCCCTTTCATTAACTTTAAAGGAACGCTGTATAAAAATGAAATGTATTGGGGACTATTGTCTTCTCTTTTGACAGGACAGCCTCACAAACCTCAACCTATCAAACCTCACATCCCAGCTACAATTTCAAGTAAATGCCAATAAATGTGATTCAAATACTCCCACCTCTCCAGTCTTGACCGTTTTGAAATTATGAGGAGTTTCATGAGGAAAAAGAGACATAGTAATTCAAAGCATTGTGTTTAAAATGAAAGCAGCCTTTGTATTTTAATGACTTTTTTGTGTAGAAGAAAAGAATTAGGCTTAATGTGCATATTACTATATGGGAGCTACAGAGCATTTTAACTCTATACTGTCCCGTCTTCCAACTGTAAAAATTAAAATCACTAATGTAATATACAGTACGTTCGGCTTATAAAACTGAAGCAGAAATCATACAGCTGAGATCAGTCAGTGACTAAATATAAGATTTAACATAATAAAATAATTATTTAATAACCAAAAGCCTATTTTCCTATTTTACATACAGTATCCACAGAAAGTCAACACAGCCTTTGCAAAATAACACATATTGTGGCCTAACAGCCTGAAATCAAGACACATTAAATCCAAATTTATTTTAACTTTATTAACACAATGTAACACACAGCCTCCAAGTGAAAAACAAATGTTCAACCTTTCTGAAAAGCACAAATGAAAACATAAAATGGCACCTTTTACTTAAATTACAGAGATAATTCTGATTAAATAGGTTTATATCAATGTACAGTAGCACACCCAGATTTGAAAAGGTTGATCCATTTGTTCTTACAGAACTGTTCAAGCTCAGTCAAATTGAAAACAATTTTATTTAGTTTGATGTCAGGGCCCTGAGTGGGACACTAAAGGACATTTACCTTTTTGTTCTTTGGCCAGTCCGTTGTTGCCTTGGTTATGGGCTTCCTTCCCAATTTCAGTTTCATAAGTTTTTCTTTAAGAATCTGTATTTTGCTTAATCCTTTTTCGCTTTGATCCTGACCAGTGCCCCAGTCCCTGTTACAGAGAATCACACCCATAACAGAATGTTGCCTCCACCGTACTTCAAAGTAAGGATCATGTTTTGTTTTTGGTGTGCTGTATTGTTTGCATTCAGGCAAAAAGGTTCTATCCTGATTTCATCATCATCGTTTTTTCCAGATGGCTTCGTAATCAATGTTGTTTTGCATACCTTAAACGCGACTCAGTATGAGCTGTTTTAAGAAGTGATTTTATTCTTGCCTCCTCCCATACAACCTAGTCATGTGGACTATTTCACATAGTGGTCTTTGACTAACCATTTTCGGACCCTATGCGTGACGGCAGGAAAGGATTACAGGCGCTGGAGGCAGATGTCAGGAAAGACACGCAAGGGTTTATTAACACAAACCAGGTGACAAGTGATTTTTCGTGCAGGCGTGACAATGTGACACAAGGGGTTAATCCAAATAGAGACACCCAGATGAGCTGTGTCAGCCTGATTTACGCCTTAAATGAGGAAACTGAGATAGATCGGGAGTCGGAGTGCCCCCTGGAGGTGAATTGTCTACTGTGACATGGACAGCTTGGGATATTGTTGTGACATGTACACACTGACCAGTCTTTGAAAGTCCTTCAAAATTCTCATTGGTTTCATGGTGGTCTCTCTGATCAGTCTCCTTTTCACTTGGTTATCCATTTTAGAGGGGTGACCTGATATTGGCATGGTCTTGGGGGTGCCATATGCCTTTCACTGCTTAATGATGGTCTTGACTATTTTCCAAGGGATATTTATGGGCTTTTAAATGTTTTTCTATTCATCTCCTGTTCTGTGACTTTCAACAATTTAATCTTGGAAGTCTTTTGGTAGCTTCCTGTTGCACATATTTGACTCTTTACTTTGAGATGCACTGCCTATTGGAGCAGCTGATTTTATTCTAAAATCATCAGAACCACTGAAGTTGAACACAACTGGGAAATAATTAGATTGTTGTTTGATTTGGAAGACAATTGGTTACACCAGAGCTAATTTACAGTTGCACTTACTGAGAGGTGTGTATACTTACCAAACCCATTTTCTAGGCTTGCATTTGTAATCACTTGTAACTGAGCATTTGTTTTATACATAAAGGTTGTGTTTTACAATGTTTAAATAATGGTAAAATAAGTACTGAATTAATATATCTTGATTTAAGACTCTCAGGCTACAAAATGTGTTGCTTTGGAAAGGGTGTGTAGGTTTTTAATAGGCATTTTATTATAATTATAGAAATTAATATGGTTCTTGACTGAAGATTCATATCTATACATTGTCAATATATTGAAATGTTAGGTACCAACAATAACACAAATCTTCTCATCAATCAAAATAAATAATACTTTCAACTTTGCATTTGCAGGTTAACAACACATGTTGTAGCAGTTCAAGTAGGTAGCAGCATCAGCATGCGTAGGCTGCAAAGGAACAAGTTACAGGTTTATTCCATGCTGAAAAGAGAAGAAAAGAAACACAACCTTTTGGCTGTGGAGCCTTGACTTGACTTGCCTTGAAACACAGGCTCCACAGCCGAAATGTTGTGTTTCTTTTCAGCATGGAATAAACCTTTATTTGTTCCTTTGCAACATATGTTGTATACTAGGAAACAAAGTCATTAAATAAAAAATTTAAAAGGCTGCAAATTAGGTAATTTGGCTACTTATTGATTCCCGGTTTTCACCCAGCCATTTCTTGAAGAATCAAAGTCTTACTAGAAAGCATGGTTGTACTGTATTTCTAGAGTTGGATGCTCACTAACTAAAACCTTCAAATTCTGTGCTAATCTGAAGTTCATGTGTTCAGCAACCCACCAAGCCGTTAAAACACTAGCTTTCAGTTTCACATTTTGCAAGCCGGAAATGTTTTTAAAGGAAAAAAAAGTTCAAAAGATTTATTATTTTAAATCCTTATTCTAAATAAAACAAACTGTCATTTTGTCAAATATATCATCAATCAATTGTAAGGTTCTTCATTCTGATTTTGAAAGAACTACACAACGTGTTTCATTTGATCTACTTGGTTATATGTCCCAAGCCCTAATCCTATAAAGTGCACACTATAGACAGCTGGGCCAACAGCTGGATGAAGGGTGGGGTTATATATAATAAAATATTTAAGTAGTTAAGAAGTTAAGAGGTTGAAAGTATTCATTCAAATGCAATTTACAAACAGCTGACAAAATATGAAAAAGGCTTGTACTGTGCTGGTCTAAGGTCGAATTTGGTGAATAAGACTCAGTTTGTTAAAGATGTGTATACATTACTCAGCCTTCCAGCTCCACTAATTAACAGGTACATTGAAATGGTCTTTGTATTTTCTTTTCTTATCTCCAGGACTGCATTGAATATGTAGTCATAAACAAAGAACTTTTTATTAAAAAACAAAACAAAATAATTGACAAAAACGTTCAACTTGTTCTGTGCAATAAAGGTAATATGCAGATTTTTTTTTAATTGACACAATTTTATTGATGTTAAATTGTTTGATGAAATTATGGTATGTTGTATTAAACAATCTATGGAGTTTTTTTACATAAATGGTCCAATCATTAATTCAAGCCTCAGGGGATGGTTATCATTGTAAGAACATAAGCAGCCCAACCACAGTCCTAATACCATTACAAAATACTGTCATGATAATTAAATATAGTTAGTGAATCATACATAGATTTTATTTGTGTTGTAATGCCCACAGAGTAAAAACATTTAGGTTAACATCTACAGTATTGTGTTTCATAACTTACCAAAGACTGGTTCAATATTATAGAGTGCTTGTAAATTTAATTGCCCAATGCAAACAATTATATCAATTATGCCATTATAACCATGGAGAACACACCAATGCCTACAAGTGGATATTGCATTATTTTTATATTATAATACCATTAAGCTGTTGCAGGACAGTCTGCCATTTGCTGTTATTGTTCTCTATGTCATTGCACAGTTGTACACAGTGTTCATAATATAGATTATTTATTTGGCGAAAACGCTATATTATCATCATCACTCTTTATGATATTTAAACAACTTTTGAAGGTCTGTATGGGAATATAATATTCATAGACTGTTTTGGGGGGAATTTTTTTAATGGACAATACAATATCATGATGTGAATCTCAGGAGATTAGTTAGGATATTTCATTCTTAATTTTCTGTGTGGAAATACATGCAGATTTTAATCTTGTTACAATAAAACACATGAACTCATATCAGCTTTTATGCTTAAATGAAACAATAAAATAGCTTTTAAGAGTGCACTGTGCCCTTGTGGGAAATAGCTGTGAAATGCTGTGCAACATTAGAGACCTTTATCTTACCTGGCATTGGTAGTAATTGAAAATACTTATATTTCATTTCACCCTAATATCTCCACTCCAGCACAAGCATGCATAAGTTCAAACCTATTATTCAAATCACAGTCTGTGTTCAATTTGCTTATCTTTATATTTATTCAAATTTAGCATTCATGAGTATAAATACAGTCATATCCTATTATGGAACAAAGGAGCAAGCACGTATAGTATCATTACACTACTTTGTTCTGGCTCATGAGGAATAAATAGGGAACAGAATTGAATCTTGGAGCATCTATGGTATTAAGCCACTAGCAAACATTAAAAATAACCTCAGTATAACCAGGGTTCAAGAACAGTAAATAAGGCAACACATAATTTGTGATTTATTTGAGTTTGACTCATTAGTTCTACTACTGGAGGTGGCTGGGGATAAATCTTGCTTCTTCCAGAAAGCAGTCGTTTCTTCTATTTGTGTCTTTGGTTTATACTGTGATTTTACAATTATTCAATTCAATTTATTTTCAATTTTCAATTCAAGTGCCTTTCACGACATGGTTGCCCCAAGGCGCTTAACAAAGCAAGTGACCACACATGTTGTGAATACAGAACAGAAAAGACCAGAAGACAATGGAGGAGAGGAACCAAAAAACTCCTTAGTAAGGAGAAAAAAAAACCTATAAGGGTCCAAGATCAACTGGCTGCCCAACCCCTTTGGGCATGCTAACATTAAAGAAAAGAAAAAAATGAATAAAGGTATTAATCCATCCATCATGTCTTCTGTATATCAGTACTCCATGCAGATCTCTGTAGACCAGGAAAATCCTCCTAAACAATAGCTATATCCACGATGTCCCTCTTGGATCCATGGCAGTGATGCAGCATCACTGTCACCAGCCTGGGCACCACCCGGACTTGTCGGAAGGAGAAATTCATTTATTATTATTCATAATAATAATTATTCATCATAATAATAATCCAGCAGCCATATCACGCTGCAACTCACAACTGGCAATCCACTGCAGCTAAGCAGGTGTGAGCCTGGTCAGTACCTGGATAGGAGACCTCCTGGGAAAAACTAAGGATGCTGCTGGAAGAGGTGTTAGTGGAGCCAGCAGGGGGTGCTCACCCTGCGGTCCATGTGGGTCCTAATGCCCCAGTATAGTGACGGTATAGTATACTGTAAACAGGCGCCATGAGACTTCGGATGAGACGTAAAACTGAGGTCCTGACTCTTTGTGGTCATTAAAAATCCCAGGGTGTTTCTCGAAAAGAGTACGGGTGTAACCCCGGCGTCCTGGCCAAATTTCCCATGGCCTCCTAATAATCCCCATCTATGAATTGGCTTCATTACTCTGCTCTCCTCCCCACTAATAGTTGATGTGTGGTGAGCGTTCTGGCACACTATGGCTGCCGTCGCATCATCCAGGTGGATGCTGCACATTGGTGGTGGTGGAGGGGAGCCCCCATTACCTGTAAAGCACTTTGAGTGGAGTGTCCAGAAAAGCGCTATATAAGTGCAAGCAATTATTATTATTATTATTATTATTATTATTATTATTATTATTATAAATTTTCATAAGAAAACATAAAGTGAAATAAACAACACAAATTAATTTCATTTTCATTTTTGCTAGAAATAAATACTTCATTGAGATTAGTTCTGTCACTTGCAGGACTGTCCGAGTGGCACCTCTATGGTTTATAATACTTTAGGTTTAGTTCAGAATGAAATTCATAGCATCATATCTGTAGCATATTCTTTTTAATATTTATTCCAAGTTAAATTAAAATCACCAATTTGAGCATACAGATTTTACATAGTGAAAAGTAAAACCATATGAAGAGAGATATTCTTTGAAGAACTGAAAGCCAGGCTAGAAAATCCACTAGAAAAAACAGTGCTTAAGGTAAGTGCAGAAATTAAACATATTTTCCCTTATTACTAAACAATTTTTCACTTATATTATTTCTCACAAACCATTAGGTGTGACCAAGATGGCAGAATTATAAATCTGTGCTGACACATTCACTTCTTCAACAGTGGTAATTATTAACCCCTGGACCTCAAACCCACATAAATTCAAATGCAGGTGTGAAGTAGTAACCTACTTCTATTTTTAGTTAATAATATTCGAAATACTTTTTTTCTACAAATAATTAATGCTCAATTTAAAAATACTACTATAACTTACATTATATGCAATATAAGACTATAATCAGTTGACTGTGATTTGCATGAATATAGCAAGGAGTGAGTCTTAATTTTTCCTTGCTTGTGATGATCTATTGCCTCATTCAGACTTTTATGTGACAGGATTCTTAGTTTTAGTTTTGTCATCACGTGAAGATTGTGAAACTGAAACATAGTGAGCCTTGATTTTGAACATTTACTGGTAAATAGCAAAAAACAATACACATGATTTTCATAAACATACTGTAAGTAACTAGATCAACCATAACTGCAAGAAATTTAAGCTCCTAATGAAAAGGTGAGTTTGGAAGTAAGAACCCTGTGCTGAAAATCCCACAGATATTGCTGTCTCCTTCCCCTAGGTACACATTGTAAAATTTCAACTACATTTTTCCTTAAAATGATAATTTGGATAAAATTACAATTAAAATTATGTTAGAAGAACTATAAGATTAACTTTTTTCCCTTTAATAATGGAATATTTCACATAGCATTAGTCATAACCTGGTATGTTCATACAAAATATTTTTCTCATTGAATTTTATATTAATTTAGATTAATAAACTGATAAGATCATTTTCCCACTGATTACATAACATACATTTAAGGTTTTTCTGAGGCCTTAAAAGTCTACCTGTCCTATCTAAGCAGTCTTCCAATTGAGTGTGGTTTTACTGGTGCAGGGATTACTGAGATGTGTCAAATAAGCAAATAAGGTGCTACAAAAATTGACTTGTGTGGTCCATTGTAGTAGTATCCGGTGTAGAAGGTGTATGTGCAAAGGATTTTCACTGTTTGGCCTTGTAGACCAAATTATAGATCGGTATAATTTATTTGGTACCGAAGTCTGGGTTTCAGACCAACTCTTACTTATGTAAACCGTGTCAATGACCAGAAATCTGGTCAGGAATTTAAGTAATTGAACCCATACAGAATTGAAGAGGCCTGTTTGACATAATGCTACCATTTGTGTCTGTGCCATAGTTGGCAACAGTCGGAAACAAGGATGGTTTAGATAGGTATGGGAGAGAAACAGCTTTATAAGTTGTAGGCAGACATAGTAGAGCTTTGTTTTCTAAATATCTTAAACTTTACTCTTCTCTGGTTAAGGGGTAACTGGTTAAGGGGTAACCAATTAATGGGCAACACTCAAGCAGCATACATATATGTATATATATAACATAATTCCTGGTAATTTATTTAGCCTACATATTTATGGTCTGTTAATAACAAAATCCTGCAACCTGCTCTTTCACTTTTTCTAAAGCCCAGCTTACATGTGTTTTTGCATTTTTTTATTTTCTTGAAATATAATTAAATTTAGGATACTAGTTCATCCTTCATCACATAATTATATTTGCATAAGATTTTAGCTTTAAAAAATACATCTCAATTGTTAATATTAATTTTAATTAATATTCTTCAAATAGCATAGTAAGAAAGGTTACAAATGAGAGCAGGTCATTTGGCCAGGCATGATATCACTCAGTGTCCAAGCAAAAAATAATAAAATAAAAATATAATTAAAGAGGTTGACAAAGTGACCTGTCAATCAGTATAGCAGCCTGACAATTTCTGGTTTAATTTCAGTGCCGTGCCTTCTTTGGGGTATTTGCATGGTTTTCTTTGGTGCTCCATGTTCCTCCCATCTCCCAAGGACATGCTAGCTAAAGTTAGTGCTTCTCAATTGCCCTCTGGCTAATCTGATGTGTATGTGTGCATGCCCTGCAATGGACTGACAAGGACCAGCAACAAGTCCATCTCTGAGCTTTCAAAATATGCACTGGATTGCTGTAATCACTACCACAAATTAACCATCCACTACCAGGATGATGGATGGATGAAATGGATCAAATTAAAAAAGCCCTTTGAATTTTTTTCTTTTCAATGTCACTTAAGTCTGCTTGATCCACTAAAAATAAAACCATCAATTACCACTGCAAATGTCCAGAGCCAATTAAATTAAACAATCAATTAAATACCAAATAAATCAGTAGGTTACTTAATTGATGCACACAATCAATCACTCGATCAATGAATCAATAAACATTTTAATTAAACAAGTATCT